TTTTTTTTCAAGCGAAGATGAGATTAGATTTTGGCACGCACAGAAAGTTGCGCAAGTACCAGTTGCTCGACATACCTGCGTGGCCCGTGCGACGAAATAACTTCACGGGATGGGCAAAGTTTCAGTCACAGCAAATTATGCAAAAAATCTAGAAAAGATTTAAGCTGAAATCTCGTTTAACGTTTAAAGCGACATATCAATGACTTCAACCATCGTGTTGTATACAAACTTCACAAACTTTAAAACACGTTCTCTAGTGATACCTGCAAAAGTATTCAGTATAATTTCCGGTCAGATTTTCGCGGACAATCTGATCGATTTCTTTTACATTGTGTGCCGAGACTGAAACTTTTCACCTCAAGCAATTCCCCGTCTCACGGCCCAAACAAACATAGCGAACAACTGAGCTATTAGTATTTGTCCGTGTTACAACACACGAAAGGACTCCAAAGCACACTTCACTCTGATTGGGCAGAAAAACACAAAGATTTTCTGGCACCAATCAGATGACAGAACGACTGCGACCGTTTGGAACTAGTCTTGTAAGACAATGTCCCCAGGGGCTCTTCATGCCCTAACTTGAAATCGACCCACAGCCCCTGGGTCTCCGAGGATGATGCTATTTATAGTATTCATTGATTTGATGAGCCTTACCATTAAGTTTGAGCTTTGCTCACTCTGCATGAAATTCACTTTCGTTCGAATAAATCATCATAATTATATCATCAAACATGACCATTCCCACAAAGAAATTGTTTCGAGTTTCATTTTTATTACCACTTAAATAAAATATAGGATACAAGTTATTTCCTACCCACACTATTCCCTACTCGAATGCGATCAAACTTAGGCCATTAGAAAGCTAACCTGCTTATCAGAGCTTCATTCATATCTGTTTTAGCGAGTCTATGTTTTGTTGTGTCTCCCTTTGAGGATGCGTTAAAGTCCCCGGAAATTTTCTATCTCCACAATCTTAACAAGATTTGAGTACACTACCAATAACTAATAGCTTCTATTTTTGACTCTTGATAAATTAAGATATTGGGCAGTTCAACTGATGGCCTCAGTCAAAGGCAATCCTATTGCTCTTCGAATAAGGTGAATAAGGTAACTCCAAACATGATTTTGGTGTTACCAGTTCCTGATTTCCCTTCATAAAGAGAAGAATAATATCTGTCAAAAACAGTAATATTTCAATCATATTTCAAAATGCCAAGGAGCCTTGTTCTTAAAGATCTATTCAAACATGAAAACAAGACATCTATTTTGCATGTGATGTATCATAAATTTTTCCTTTATGTGACATAATCAGCAACGGATAGGCAGTGTTGCGTGACATTTAATCCACAATGGAGAGAGAATGACAAAAGATATCTACGGGCTTCGAGATTCGAAAACATTTACCTGACTTTTACAAAGGGATTTCATTTGAGTTCCCGATCGCAAAACCGCCCATGGACCGATGTGTGGACTAATAATCAACAGCCTTTCAAACAATCTTCGCTAGTCAAACAACCCTCTGATTAACATCGAAGTTAACTGAAAGATCGTTTCTTTGGAAGAAGGCTTTAGGATTTTTGATATTGCTACCAAACGTGATCGACGATGAATATAGAATACATCCATATGAAAGGTAAGAGAGATAGTGGTAGCATAAAGCAGGATAAGATGTTAGTTAGAGTTAACGAATATCGTTTGTTTTGAATGCCCATTTACGCAAATTGTAATAATTTGCATGTGATAACTGCTGCATCTCAGGCTCTCACTCACGATCGTGGAATCGCCATTATTAAAAGATTATGTCCTATTATAGTCTAAAAAGCAGTGAAAGCATCAGAGGGGCCTTTAAATGTTCCTCCGTAGGGCACATATGTACCTAGAGAGAACAAAAAGCAACGGTGCGTAATCAAGACTGACTTATGTAAAGTAAATTTAGACAATTTCTTCCAAGCTGTATCAAAGCATAATTTCTGTTTCTTTGAGTAAAACTGACTACTGAAAATCTCAACGTATTGAAAATTTCAATTCAGTCGATCTACGTGCCTTGCAAGCTAATAAAGTGCTTTGCAAGCTAATAACGTGCTTCGAGATACATATTTTGGACGTTGATACCTATTCTTTGTTGTGTTTTACGCGCCCTAACAATCTCTTTTGTTCTGTCGAGAGCCTTAGCTGTACGAGACCACTGAAGCGACACTTGGTGTGTGCCAAATTTAAATACTGAAGCTTCAAGTAATCTCTAGCTCACTGTCAACTGTAAATTATACAAACTTTTTTGCCATTTCAATTTCAAAGGGGTTACAAAAGGCCGGGGAAAATACGTGTAATACTAAGAATTTTTCGGAATATTTCTGCACGCATGCACAATCGCTATGCATTACGATTACCCACTAAGATCCAATAAAATTTTCATGCTACAGGGTTCATCAGCAGTCCCTAATGGACCCTCGCACACTTCGGTTTCAAAAGGTTTTTCCTCGCTCTTGAAGTACAGAAAATGATGTGTGTTCAAGAAAAAAAGGGTCTAAACGCAAGTTCAAGAATTTTTTGTCTGCAATGCCGCTCTAGCCAATCATGAAAATTGATTATGATAAATAAGACTAGCTATTGAAATACCTTGTTGCAAATTCCATTAGATAGGTGAAGAGTCATTAAACGAACGAGATCTTTATGTTTTTATCTTATTTAATAACCACTCAAATTTCAATGTAACTATACATATTGTAGCCATTATTTGGCAATATTAGCACCCTAGTTCAAGCTTTTGCGACTCTTCCAAAAATAATCTTAGGACTAGCGAGAGTAATAAGTTTTATGAGGGTCGTAGACACGTGATCTTACGTACCCGGGGCGGGCTGAGAATAAAATGATAAATCAGGTGCATGAAAGCCTCTATTCTCTGCTTCCAGAGAGAGGCTGCTTTCTCATTCGAAGTATATAATTATCATTTTAAGTTGAAGACTAATTATTTTGGGGGGAATTTGCTTTCTCCACAGACAGTCAATTGGACAGGCATGAGAGGGTTTTCACTCGATGGATCAATCTTCATTTAGCAAATGTAAGAATCACAGGAAAGAGTATGAAGCGCCATGATGGAGTGATGTATGGTGGCAGGGGTTTGTTATTTGAAGGTCTAAGGATATTGGATCCTCGACTCTGTTGCTTGATTGCATTTAGCTCTTTTGCTGTCCTTCGTAAAAAATCTTGGGATTATTTGTCCACCAAGAGGAAGATTTTCTTATCCTACCTAAAGATGATGTTGCTTTAAGTGGAAGTTCGCAGTAAATGCAGTTACATTGTCATGTGACTGCAATGGGTGAAACCAAAATCAACACTAGGAATGTAGATATAAAATTCCATCTTTAAGTAGAGTTAGTTCCACAAATCTAGCTTTCAAGCGAGTGCCCAAGGAATTTCTGTTGAGACCTGCAGTGTAGGCCTCAAGCTACAGCAGGGATTTGGAACGATTCACTCTTCTTACAATCATGATGTCTTTCATGTCATTTTGTTTTGTTTTGTATTTTTTTTTTCTTTGTCTACAATATCAAAAACTGCTGGTCCATTCTTTAGTTTCTGAAATTTCAAGAACACTTTCTACAGGCGAATCCTCCAGTAAAAGTCACTGATCTCGTCAATGAATCGAAAGATGGGCACGTTTTACTCACACTTGTTGAAGTACTTCTTGGAGTAAGAGTTTTAAGAGACACGAGAACCAGCCGCATAGCTAACATTAAAAATGTCCAAGAGGCTATGGGATACTTGACAAGAAACAAGGTATGCATGAGTAAAGCAAGTATGAAGTGTTTGGGTCCACTCTATGATTGTTATTTCTTTCATCTCGAATATTGACTTATAGTGATTAAAAGAAGAAGATTAATCTTTTCAGACCAGACAAATTGAGCCAAATCTAAGTGAGGTAACTGACACGTGAAGCTCAATGGATGCTGTCAAATAATATAATGAATTCGGAATGAAGCTGTAAATTGTAGTGAAACTCTGTACCGCCCGTGCAACTCAGGGATCACCGAGGCACTTTTGAAAAGCAGGAAGTTAAATTATGCAGTTATTTTCGTATTTATTCCTAGGTCCGAACGGGTAGTGTAATCGCCAGTGAGATCGTGTCAGGTGTTCAGCGGGCCACGTTAAGCTTGGTGTGGAGTATCATCTTTCATTTTCAGGTGGTTTATATTTTATTTTGGATACTGATGCAACTTATTTTTCTATGTTTATTAAAGTTCTGGTTTTATTTCAGCTTTTAAATTTCTCCTTAAAAGCCTTACAAATCTTTTCTTTCTGAATCTTCTTTCCTATTTATTTGCTCTTTACTCTTTTCTCCTTTACTTCTTTCTCCTTTCCGAACCGTTTCGGCCTACATCGTACTATTTTGTAATGTTTTCTCTTAAGTGATTTTTGTGTCCACTTATTTCCCTCGAAAGGTACTCGAGGCGATGCAACCCTCTCAAACAGATTATGGAGTCAGTCAAAAGCTTCTAGCATGGTGTCAGAATCAGTTGAAAGGGTTTGTATCTTTTACGAATTCATGATCAGTAACGTTGATTGATTCTTATGATGAATTATGAAACATTTTCATGTTGCTATGCAAAACTGTTTTACTTCCACATCTTCTTTATTCTCTATAGGGAATGCACACTATGGCACACTATCTAGACAGAATTTCTGGGTAGCTCAGTACTCTAGTGTTTAACTTTACTGTCTTCTTTTGATCTACAACAGATACAGAGGTAAAGTAGAAGTGACAAACTTAACTACGAGCTGGATGGATGGTTTAGCATTTAATGCACTGCTTCACTCTTTCAAGTAGGTCTTACTTGTTGGTATCCGTTCAGGCTGTGGTAAACATGATTATGCTTATTATTAAACGTAGTGAACGGTCTCTTATCTCTTCGCTTTGGTGCCCAATCTGTGAAAGCAACTTGTCATTTTGCCATAATATTATCGCCCATTTGTTGCAACCACCACACCTCACACGTTTATCATACTTATAACCTCTTTCCATGACATCTTTAACTTAAGGAACATATCAAATACGAGAAATTACTCATCTTGGAAGCAAGTTCAACAATCGGAAAATTCTCTCTCCATGATAGATCTGCATCGGATATTAGTGATCATTGCCTGTTTTTGTCATTCCATAGTCCATCTCACTTTAATTTTGATGCAATATCAAGTGACGGGGATAAACGTCTTGTACATGCCCTTAGCCTGGCGACAAAAGAATATGGAGTGCCTCCTATTTTTGACTTAGAAGGTAAAGTTGTTACTTGGCATCTATAATGCAAGTACTTATGTAAGGACATCTTCCAATGAGAATTTCGTGTAATCAAACTCCTTTTGTATTTCAAGCCTTAAAAAGTTTCCTCAAGTAAGTGATTTACTGAGAAAGAGCTATATTTACTCAATTTACCTGGAAGCTGGGGTCTTGCGGTTTAGTGTATACATGTACTTTAGACTGGTAACGTGTAGTGTGTTCTCGATAAAAGACAAGTCGATTAATATTTGTTGTTGTTCTTTCAAGATTTTGGAGTCGAAACACCAGATAAAAATATGATTTCGCTTTTCTTATCATATTTGTATCAATTCACGAGGAGAGGAGCTCTATCGGTCGAGAGTTTTGAAACAGTCAAGAAACAAACATCATCAGAAATAAAAATGGTGAGTACACTTGAATAAAGATGTTATTTGTCAAATTATGCAAAAAAGTATTTTAAAAAAATCCAAAAAAATTAAATAAGATTTTTTTTTACCGAAAGCAATTACGTGCCTCAGAAAATCTCTTTGCTACAGATGCAGAAGTACGACTTTCTGCCCAACGATTGGAATCTTCGACCTCTGAGGTGCCCCAGGAAACTTTGACTGGAATGTTTTACAGCTAACCCGCCTTAAGAGTGGAAAACTCAGCCACTGAGCTTTGTCCTCTTTCGATGTTACAAGCTTCCGGATTAAGTGTTAAAAGAAGAGGAAGAAAAGAAAAGAACTCTAACAAACGTTTTGCAAAAACTACTTGTAAACGTTTTGTTATGAAGGCAGATACTAGCGATTTTTAAAGAATCAGTTTTGATTGCTGAACTTTCTATGACAGGAATACAAAGTACAGACCGTTTCCTCACAGTATGAAACGTCGAGTTCACGTGCTACAACTTATGATGTCCAAACAACAACCACAACTCAACAGGGAAAGAATGAGACTGTCTTTTATGAAAACCAGTCTGCGGGAAATGAACGAGTTCTTCATTTGACTGGTTTCCCTTCATCAATTCAGATACAAGAGGTGGGGTGATTCAGTTCTTATTTCTCTTCTGATTAATAATCTCCTTCGCAACCGTTCTTTTGCATGCCGTAACGCGACTCCTCATCGAGTTTCTCTAAGGGGGCAGTGTTCCGCGACATCCAAATAATGCCAACAAAGCAGACTTTTATGAGAATAACACTAATTCAATTCGTATAACGCTAATAATGCTGAAAATACTTAAATGAAGCTGAACGTGATCTTCGCTCCTATGAACACTACTTAAGCAATAGTGATTTTTTCAGGATTTATTTTGAAGCAGTAAATGTTTATTACTGCGAGGATCACTCTCATCTTCATTTACTATTCTGCTGTTCAATTATATGATATTTATATATTTACAGTCGTTCAATGGTTAAATGTACAGGATAATGAAAAGCTTATGTAATTTACTCAATTTTAGGTTTACGATTGTAGAGAGTTACTGTAAGTTAGTAAGATACTTGAGGGTTGTTCTGCTACTAAAGTTATCACCTTTCGCTGTTTCTTGTTTTCAGCGAAGAGGTTTTGTTGTGTCGCCGTTTGGAAACCTCTCGGGTAGTTCCTCCAGAAATTCATCGAGAACCACAAGTCCTGAATTAAAGGTACTGAAAAACACGTGAGAGAGTTCGAGAAATCTACGCAAGCAGATTGCATTCATCTTAAAAGCTTTATTTCTGGGGGTTCTCTCTAGCTATTTCATGATCGCTTCTATTTTTGGAGATCGGTGCCGTTAATGAGGTCTGTGCTTTGAGTGATGCATCAGCATTCCACTAACCTCCCTCTTGTAACACGCCGTTATTCACATTCTTTATACTTTGAACAAGGAACTGCTGGCTGGTATCGTTTAATTTTTTTTGTTTATACCTCAACGCTGGATTGAAAGATTAATTTTATCTTAACCGCCATTTGATAAATGGTTTCACTCTTTTAGGAGCTTAAAGACGAACCTTTAACGTTCACATCATCACCTCAAATGTCATGGAATGAATCATACGAGTACAAGGTTGCCACCCATAGTATTACATCAGATAGTCATGTGACATCCACCACCAGCACCAAGATGGTACATATATGTTCGCCACATTTACACGAACAAGCCTTCGAAAAGTTGTGTCCTAAACACATTCCCAGTCAACACCTATCAAATACACTAAGCAATGAAGCCTTGCTTGAACAAGAATAGGCTTTTTGCAGTTGATCTAGGAGTTTTACTCATTTTTTAATCATCTGCAAAGACACATTTCACCCTTGGGAAGTCCAGAGGCGGCAAAGAGATTTAAAATATGGGAAACCTGGTTAGCTGAATGACCCTCAATTGGTTAGAACGCCGGATTTTGTTGTGCGGGAGGTAGAGGGTTCGAGCCCCGGCCGGACCAATACTCCTGGTCTTAAAATAACTGAGGAGAATTTGCCACCTTTCTGTAATATCAAGAAATGGATGGATATTCTAGTCTTCTCGGATAAGGACGAATAAAACCGTAGGTCCCGTCTCCTGCAGGGTTAGGGGTAGGAGACGTTAATTTCCCACGCACGAGATTACTGTGTGGTGGATGTCCTCCCCGGGGTGGGATAGTGGGTACAAAGGGGTTAGGTGTCAATTGGGACGAAAGTTCTGTTCCTTTCTCCTGTCATTCCCGTGGCGAACAAATTAAATTCCTAAATTCGAAAGGGGGAAGGTTTAAATGACATGGAGTCAAACGCGAACCACTGATAAAAGTTACCACAATTTCCATTTCTCGCCTAGTTGGCACAAGAAAACCTCCTTTTAATCTAAGCAAAGGCCAGAAATTGGAAAATTTATTTCCTACGAGCAAAACTGACCATACAGAACTTGCTGAAAACAATAATGCTCCAATTTTTAATGCGAATTAACGTCTGTACAAGAAAATGTAGAGAATGAGACAAAGCAGGACACATGAAGGACGGATATATAGCTTTTATAAAGTTCTAGAAAGTGGTTAAGAGCTCATGTACTTAGGTATGAAAAGTCCCACAGATTAAATAAGCAATTGTTTCTTTCACTAACAGTCATCTTCTAAAAGTAGTGAAGACTATTCTACGAGACTGGTTGAGTTTACAAGCACGGATCAGGATGGTCAAACAAATGAAAAAGATAAAAACCAAAAAGAGGTATTGTTTCAAGCCCTTAGAAAAAGAGAAATCCGGGTGTTGTAAAAAAAGGAAGGATTTATCATTACCATACAGATACAACACACCCTAGAACTAAAATCTAATTATGTTCCTACAACAGGTAGAGCCTGACGATAGCAATAGCGACTCGGAAATGCTGATAAGGTACACAGTGGAGAAAAAGGTAAATGAGCTAAGATAAGAGCAGTGTCGATGGGAAGGTGAATGGCTTAGTTAATGATAAAGCCTTGTAATCACTTTCGAGGAAAAAATAAATATCGACTTAAAAACATCCTCATCAAGAATAGGCAATTAATCTATCAGCATTTAATTGAGTCTCCTCAGCTTTTGCAACAACAACAAAATAAAAAATAAAAGATGCACGTTGTAGCACAAGTTAGGTAATCATATTGTATCTCCCCTTCTAAAGTCATAAAAAGGTTTCAATGAACTAAGATTTAAGTCGCTCAATTTACAGATAGAGCAAGGTCCAACCGTGGATGTAGAAATTGAAGAGACTGAAGAGACAGTTATTGATGGAACGGTGGAAAAGGCAATGAACGAGGCAGAGGATGATCGAAAAAGAAAGCAAAATGCCGAAAAGGACGCCGAAATTGAAACGAAAGAAGATGGTGGTGCTGAAGAGGGAGAAGCCCATCCTGAGAAAGAAATTAAGGAAGACGAGTTCCATGAGGACGCAAAACAAGTATTTAATTCCATAGGAATAAAGTAAAACATTAAGGTAGCCTAAGGTAGCATTCGTTACAAGCGAAGGACAAAGAAAAATCCGAATCATTCCATTTGTTGTTTATACTTCGAAATGAGTATCATGAACTAATTTCACTCAATTTTGTATGCCCATTAGGCGGATAGTAGAACAAACAAAACCAGGAAGATTTTGCTGGTATCCACTGCGCGTATCTCTGGTGAAAAAAATCCAAAGAAAACAGAACCCAACGAACGGGCTTCTTGGCTATCCGTTAGCACTGACGATGAGGGCGATCAACCTGACAGCCTGGTTCATTATTTTAGACACAGCAGAGATGATCACGAGTCCAGTCCTCCCAGGTAAAGAAAAATTAATTTAGCAAAGCAACGGCATGAAGCTGCTACATACTGGAGAGAGTAAACAAACCTTATCGTTTGGCAAGACATAAAAAGAGTGCCATTCTCTCCACTTATTTAACTTCTCATTGAAGGCCTTCTCTGTAGGTTTGCATCCTCTCTACCTTTCGTGGCCGATTGTGCGTACGAGGAATTGCACAAAAATACAACCTGTACATGTCTAGAGATTCCCAAAGCCCGGCTTTTTAGCATCAGAATTAAAATATTCAAAACTAATACGATTGGCGCATCACCGTATTGCGAGAGTTAAGCTGAGGGGTAAGATTACTTTTCTGAATTAAAATTGGTGAAGAGTCGAGTCAAAATTTTAAAAGGACAAAAAGCGTCGGTTCAGTTCCAATAAAATTACAAATCTCAACCTGCGAAGCTGACGTTGTGTTTATAGATACCTGACCCAAATTCAGATCAATTTAGGAGGACAAAGAGAAAATAATGCCGGGTAAGGAGCGATTTTGTTTCAATTTTCGCACCAAATTACACCCACAAAAACACGCACTACTAATCGAACACTAATCCTTTTGGATCCGTTCAGAATCGAAAGCAAATACTACATCATCTCGTCGGATTATCAGTTCCACATTTATTCTGATCTTGTTTTCTATCAACTTAAATCTAATCCCCTGACACGCTAACTGTTACGATCTGTGCTGACATCCGTTACAATCTGTTCATCCGTTCCCTTTCTTGGGTTATCATATCCTTTATTCAAGCTTTGCAATTGTTTTTTTTTCTTTTCGTCCTTCCAAGCTATAATGTTATTAATGACAGTTGAGATCGATGAGAATCGATAACAGATCGAGTTGATACAAATGTTCATTTGTAAAACTTTCCTAATCCGAGTTTTCCTGAACGGGTAGTGTTGGAGATACTCGATCGATAGACCCACTTGTTGTACCTGAGCCTTGAAAGCATGAAGGGAACTCTACAGGAACGGATATGATTTGAACCCCTTAGGTCTCAGAAGAAAATGAATTGGAAATAATGGATTTTTCTCTTTCTTGAAACACGAGTGCGAACACTGATTACGGATTATCTTTTTTATACAGCAATAAAATTCCTTTCTTTCCACCAAATTTTAACGAAATAACAAACTGAACCTAACAAAGCACCTCACTTAACATTTTACGTTACATCGTATTTTGTTATGATGCAACCCTCGTCAACTCTAAGTGTTATCATGGAAAATCCACGCTAAAGTAAGCAGTATTTTTCAATGAGTAGCAAACTAGACAATCAAATTAAAAGCATCCATAGTCGCAGCGCGCTATAGTTGTTATGTTTCATTCCATTTTTTTCCATTTTATCATTATGATAGGGAGACCACATGCCTCTCAGTTAGCAAAGCCACAACGCAATGGATATATTCGATATTTCGGAGAAATTGTAAAGGAATTTTGATAAAGATGGTGTGATTGAAATGCAAATATTTGATCTTTTCATCTACAACAGCTCCCCAGCTGGCACAATCAACTTTGTGGATTACCTGAAGAGGAAATTAGACGCCGTTGATCGAGATTTGTTTGACATTGAGTATGGTGCAAAACAGTCGGACAAGGAATCGATGGACTTACAGTCAACAAAAAAAGCTTTGGACCAACACAAGGTTACTCTCGTTATTTGTCGCCTCTAAGTTTAGCCTGAGAGGTTGTCTCTACGTTGATCACTATAAGTACATAGATTCAAAGAAACGAAAGGGAAATACACCTCCCGAATTTCTGAACTACATATAGAGGTCTCAATTATTCGCAAAGAAAATAAGCAAAAATATATTTTTGCATAGTTTTACCCCACCGAAAAATGGCTCGTAGACTGCGTTTTACATTCTTTGGTTGTGAAACAAATTTACTTTAAACTGAACTAAAGTTTGTACTGACTTCACATCGTTTCGAATAGGACGCTCTGCTTGAGTTGGAATCGGTTGAAGCCCATACTTATGATGCACTAGAAGAGGGAAAGAATCTGGTCAACGAAAAGTGCTTTGATAGCTCGCATGAAGAATACTTCAGCGATAGAATGGAGGCAACAGAAAGAAAACTGAGGAGGATAGAGGACGTCGTAAACAAGGAGCATCAAAGGTGCATTTTCGTTCGCTTTACAACGTGATAGGGAAGAGGTAGTTCCTTTGTGTGGCGTGAGTAGTCCAGTGGTCATTGCGCTGGACTCTGGGTTCAAGTCCTGGCTGGGGCATGACGTTATATCTTTATGCAAGACGCTTCACTCACATTGCTTCGTCTTCTCGGATAAGACGTAAAGCCGTAGGTCCGGTCTCCTGCAGGGTCAGGGGCAAGAGACGTAAATTTCCCATGCACGAGATTACAGTGTAGTGGATGTCCTCCCCGGGGTGGGATGGATGGGAAGGTGAACTGAAGCGGCTGCCAGAGGCGCCTGATAGAAATGCTGACATCAGATCTCAACCTTACTATACTGTTAAGCGCGACTGAATATATCCACATAGAAGTCTGCGCTATATAAATGTAAAAATGCAATGTAAAATTCTTGGAAATATCCCATTTAACTCGGGATCTAAGAATAACCAACCCTGAGCCACAAAAAAATCTTACGGCAATTTCAAAAACCTTTGTACGTTCTTCAGCAACAGCACATAAAATGCTTTCTTGTCGTCCACTGATACATTGAAATGAAAACAACATTATTCCCGGAAGATCAGAGAGCTTGAGTATTAAAACTCTTGAAGAAATTTCCTTTAGAATAAGGTTTCTGTTTAAAGTTTTTCGGGATCCTACTTGAGATAACTGACAAACTGATGTCGTTCACTGACTCTTGCTTCCTCCGTAGGTTGTTCGACCTGTATGTAATTTTGCTCAAACAACACTTGGAGCGGATGAATGATTGGCTTGTCCGTGCCGAGTCCCGAATGGCATTAGATGATGACGTCGAGCCAACTTACGAAGGAGTGAACTCTCAAATCATCAATCATAAGGTTTTCAGTGATCTCAGTCGCTAGCGTAATTTGCATCTACCGTATGTCTTGAAAAGCTATAGATAAGTAAAAATAGATGCATTTAGGTAAGATTGAGCTTGTAGTCAATTTACTCAGCTGTCTTCCTAGTTAGCTGTCGTCCTATTTAATAAGATTCGTTAAATTTTTCAAGACTTTAAATTTTTAATGGATGCACTTATCTTATCTACATCTACTTATTTAATAGTAATAATAATAATAATAGTTAATCTTTATTGAGGATGCCGACATCACAAAAAAGTGGTTTACAGAGGGGTCCTCTAAAGGTAACTACATAATTAATAATTACTTAAAAAGGAAAAGAAAAAAATACATATCGAAAATATGAAGATAAAACTACATTAATTTGAAAATTAACATGCAAAAAACGAAACTAATTAAAATAGTGCTTTCTTGATACCACGCTTAAATTGGCTTAAGGTGGGCACATCTCTTAATGCTCTAATACCGTGATCAAAATGGAAAAAGCTAGTCTTTTCATCTTCTTTGCATATATATGAAGACAGATTTTTTAACCTTTCATCTTCTCTTGCTCCAAAGTGAACAAAGGCTCTTAAAGTGACCACACCCCTTTTACTGTCTCGTATTTCAAAGACCTGATCTTGTCTTAGACATTCCAGGAAGACTTGTCCAATCATTCCATGGTGAATATGATACTTGATATGGATTTGGAAGATCCTGCTATAGATGAAACCATCCGGGACTGGGTCAGAGTAAGTGATCATCGTTCTCAGTCTTCGCAGTGTAAATAAATACACAAAAAGCAGGAGTTTTGACGATAAAAATGAACGGTAAAACACGACGTTTCGACCGTGCTTCGGTCATTGTCAAGTGAATGAAATGAAATATAGTAAATATATGTATATATACACGTGCGAAATATAAAAAATTTTTTGCAGGTGTAAACAGACAATAAAACTACAAAGAAAGTGCTAGTAAAAAGCTAATTAAAAACCTTAGCGCGAATTGAATCAGACTGTACATTGAGAGCAGGTCTTAGCTTGTGAATAAAAAACATCTCCTAGACGAGACAGTCAAATTTGTTCGTGCACTTCATTAAGGTGCTAAAAAAAGCAGGAGATGTATACTAACATCGAGATCTCCCCATTAGATAAACCACCATAATGGAGCTGAGTGGCGTGAACGGAATATTTTAATGAAATTTGATTAGTAAGCAGTGCATCTTTACAATGTTAAATAATAGTTAGGAAATCTTGTCTGTTTAGCTAGTGAAGAGCAGTTAAGGTATTTTATGGTCATGTTTGGAAAGAATAGTAAAAATAGTTTCCAATTAAAGATGGAAGAGAATATGATACTTGATTAAGTATTGCCTGGAGCGATTAAGACGAAAAACTTTGCATTAAGCAATAGAACACATTTTTCCGGGCTCTGCGACGTTATAAAGCCACGTGGGATGTTGGGAGTCTCCCTGTGTCCCAAGGGGCTTCATCATGTTATAGAGCCCGGAAAAATGTGTTCTGTTGCTTTAATGACATAAATGATTGTCACCGATCAAATGTAGGCTCTATAACCCAATAAAGCATCCGCTTAGAATCTGAATTGACCTATTAGACGATGCGTACTATGTTCATTAATGTTATAATTGCAAATAAACACTGCCTCTATCTGACCATGTGAAGTCCTAGAGCTTCCATTTACAACTCACAGGTGCTCCAGTCTTCTTTCTCTTCTCGAGATTAGGTCCTAAGTGAACGTTGGGCGGCAGTGTGGACGTGGGCAGAAGAATGGAAAAAGAAGCTTAACAAAGCCCTTATGGACTGGAATAAACTTCGTGAGGAAGAGACTGTTTTACTGTCGTGGCTGTCAAGTAAAGAACAAACTATGGATGTCATTAGCCAAACGGACATCACAGATGAGGAACAAGTGAAAATGCACTTGAATTTGCTGGAGGTATGAATTGAGTCGATTGGCAATTAAAACCATTGAAACTCCTTGTTTGTTTCTGCTTTACAGCGGCTCTAGGCTCTGCTTTACCATCTTTCGTCTTTTCACTTTTTCTTCTCCAACAGACATTAGAGCGCGAAATGGAGGCACAAGGCACACGTCTGGAATCTCTCCATCAGATTGGAGAGGAACTTATTAAAGATGCTGACTATCACAATTCAACTGCTAAAGCTATCTGGGACCAGTTGGAAGACTTTGATGAATGCTGGACAGGCATTAGTAACTCAGTCAAGGAGAGGAAAGTAGTGGTGAGTGATTTAAAAAAAACCTAAGCAACACTTACCGTTGATTTTTTTTCTCGATTTGTTAGCACTTATAGGTGATTCCCCTGTTCTTCCCTTTCGAAAACAAATCCAACCAAAAATGGCTCTATTACATGAATAGTCGACAGCTCTGGTGAGTTTGAAGTAAAAATTCTCAGCAATTCCTTAAAATATTACCAGTAAAAATAAAAGTTGTTTTAAAACTGCTTTTGGATGATAACCACAACGTAACTGATAACAATGTCATATTGCAAATACACTTTTCAGCTTCAAGACGCCCAAAGTAAGGTGAAACGGATGGGGGATTTGATGAAAGAAGTTCGAACCTGGATGGACGAGGCAGAAAAGCTTATCAAATATATACGATTACAAAGTGACCCAGAAAAGGAAAACAAAATTCAAGAAAAGATAGAGGTAAGGCTAAAAATGTGTTGTGGACTTTACTATATGTTCCATCAGAAGTTATGTAGCCATTGAATACGAACAATCTTTCATCCGAATCCATGACTGTGTTTTGTCTCGATCATGTAACAGAATGTCGAAGCTCAGTTAGCTATAAGGAAGGGCACCTGTTTGTTCTACGTAGACTTGATGGAAGAAGTGATGTGACAGCGGGTGTAGCCCATTTCCGTCTACATAAAGCTGCTCATTCACACTTGTAAACATTCCTCAAGAAGTTTCGCCTGACCACTTCCATTCGAAAAAAAATTAAGGTTATCTTCTACCTTCAATTCCTATTCACACAAAAAAGAAGACTCTTCTACCAGTTTTTAAACAGTTAGTCTTGTTAAAGAAAGACTTCTAAGGCGCAAATCTTCTGATGCACACAACTTAATACATGCACTTTCCAAGAAAGTTGTAGAGGTTTGACTAAAACTCTAAGCCTGCAACGGGACAAGTTTCTTGACAAATTTTTGTTGCTAAATAAATAAGGAAGACTCTCTATTTGTTGAGTGTTTTGCTAGGGCAGCAATAGCTTCCTGACATTATGTTTAAGGAGAAAGAGATGATTTCGCTCTTTTTTTCAATACCTTTAAAAAAAGCAGCTCTGTTTTCGCCATTTTTCAGCTCAAATGCGAGGAAAAAGACAGAAATCAGCTAAAAGTCGACGAGATCAATCGACTGGAGGAAGACCTAAGCTCAAATATCGACAAGAGGTCCAACTACTACTTGAAAAAAGTCACCAAACCATTCAACAAGCGTTGGGATGACACAAGAATTGCCCTGGACAGATATCGTAATGACGACTACCCGTTTGTCAAGCCAGATGACTGCTTCCTTGTGAAATGTTTAAAGAAAGCCCTCGTAGTTAATTGAAGTGCTTAACTTTCAAGGCAATGATAAGGCATAATGTACGACGCTTTAAGTACCAGCTCTCTGTCAAAATAGCCAGGCTTAATTAACAGCAATCGCATAAGTAACCTATTGAAAAGATGGATTTGAACCCTTTCATAACAGGGGAGGGTAGAAAACCTAGATTTTTTTATTTCAAAAGGGACAAAGTTTCCGACTTAAATCAGTTAAAAGAGACCTCAATACATCAACAATCCGTTGCCGAAAATGCAAGTTGGCTCAGTCGGTTGAAGCTTTAGTTAATATCAAGGTTCAACAAAACCATAGAAACGATTAAAAATGCTATTCTAGCTGTTCAGAAAACTTAGGCTCTTCCTTTATTAGGAATTGCAAATTATAGCTATTCTTCATTTGGCTAAGAACTTGGAATTTAAAACTGACGAGCTTTAAGTTACGATGATAGTTAGCTTTTATCGTCAAAAATGTTTAAAGTTTAATGTTCCAACCTGTTTAGCAAAGCAAAGCTTCCAGTCACTATATATACCAATAACAGGAACGTTTGAAATTATTAAATATACACTGATTTGGTCGTTAACATGTTGGTGAGTAGAAAATAAAAGCGCATTTACTACGCACTAAAAGCTAAATGGGAGAAATACTCAAGTTTGTTAAAGAAGCTAGCCGAGAGAAAATAAATTAGAAGATAACCATAGATGAACTGAAGATGTAACTATATTTATATATTCAGAGTGCCTCTGATAGTTCCTTTAAGGAGGGGTGTTCTGCAGGCTCTTCGCAAAGAGCAGTTCTCGTCACCTTTAAAGATGCCGCTGTCGCTGTTGGGAGCAAATCCAACACTGCCAAACTTATTTTCCCTAAAGAACATATGTCCGACTGGGCACTCTGCCTGCCACTTCCGTTTACAATTTCGGGGGCAATGTGAGGATACTTTTCTTGATATCTCATCTGTTGGTTGATGGACATGGACATAGCCGGCTTGGGATCTGACGAGAAGTGAGCTTTTCCAACGCACAACGCGGCACCGCTATAAGAGAAACTTGTACGAACATAATCGGTACGAGGTTGCGGAAGAGCCAGCCTCATTTCACTATTTGTCATTACGAAAGATGAATATATTCGATAAATAATCAGGTGTCTGTCCATTTAGAATTTTGAACATCATAACGGCTTTTGCAAAAAGCCTCTGATTCCTTCTCTCCGTCGAAGGGCTAACGCTCGAAACGTCAGCTTTGGTTTTCGTTACGGTGGCTAATTTACCATTTCAACTTTGTTGATATGCCCAAATTATCTGATTCCTTAGGTTTTTCCAATTAAGTCTACGGAACAGGTCTAGAGCACTAGAATCATAAGGGGCGGAGAACAATATACGAGCAGCACGGTTCTGCAGCTTCTGAAGTTTTTCGGCCAGACTTGGCGCAGTACTACGGCAATCCCATACTAAGCTGCAGTAGTCAAACTGGGGCTTTACCAAACCATTGAAGATGTTCAAAAGAGTGTAGAATGGTACAAAATCTCTAATGCGCTTAATTAGGCCCAAAGCTGAAGAAATTTTCTTACAAACAGTTTCAATATGGGTATTCCAGCTTAAGTTTTCATCGATAGATACACTGAGAGACTTTGTTGACGACACCTGCTCAATGGGAAAATTATTAATGGTAAGAGACGGATTGTTTGACAAGTAAACTCGCCTTTGCCTTGAAGTTATTATTAAGAACTCGGTTTTAGTCAGGTTCAATGTGAGTTTATTAGAAGACAACCAGGTAATAACAGATTTCAAATCTTTGTTAAGATAATCATCAATTTCGTTTCAGAAGTCTTTGCCAGCGTAAGTAATGCTGGTATCGTCAGCATACATTCGAGGTTTAGAAAAATTAAGGCACTGAGGTAAATCGTTAGTATAGAGTAAGAACAAAAGCGGGCCCGGAATCGTGCCTTGAGGCACACCGCAATTAAGGAACTTTGGCGTCGATTTAGAACAATCGATTTGGCAGATCTGTGTTCGGTCAACTAAATAGGAGCGAAACAAACGCAACGCTAGTCCACGAATTCCATACGAACGAAGCTTAGATAAAAGAATCTCATGATCGACTGTATCAAATGCCTTCTTTAAATCTAAGAAGACAACAGCATTGATCAATCCACGGTCTATATTAAGAGCCCAGCTATCGGTTGCCTCGAGAAGACCCGTAACCGTCGAGTGTAATGAGTGGAAACCGGACTGATGTTTGGAAAGAAGATTATACTTCGTAAGATGGACATACAGTTGATCATAGATTATCCGCTCAAAAACTTTTGCTACCACAGGAATTACTGAAATGGGGCGGTCATTAGATGGATCATTGCGCTTTCCCGAATTTTTGTGGAGAGGGGAGACTCTAGCAAGGTTTATTTGAAACTTCAGAATCTGCCCCCTCCCCCCCTTTCAAATTTCAAAACATTTTATTTTCTGTACTTCTTGGTTTAACTAGCACCGCATTGCAAAACTACACTAATTTTAAAGCGGATTCTGATCAGCAATATTTTTACATAAGTCAATTTTTTTTACAGAAGCAGGCTTTCTTATTAGTGTTTTTGATATGGTTTTAATCTATTTGAGTAGTTTTTAAATTCACTGATTTTAACTGGCTTTAAATGCTTAAAAAACCGGGCGAAGGCACGCCTTTAGTAATTTTAAATTAGTTTAAGTTTTAAGTGTATACAGACTGGAATGTTTGGCTATTTTAAATTTATGATTGTAAATATTAAATAAGTTTTAGTTGATCCTATATTGTATTTAGTTTGTTGGTGACAGATGAAGAGCCACTCTGTGTAAACACTGTTAATAAACTCTTTACCTACTTACTAGGTCGTTAGATAAATAGTGGGTTTTATACATAGCATGTTTAGTTTTGATGGATTTCAGTATTCCCTTTGAGATGCAAGGTTTTTTCAATTGCTTTTCTTTGCTTCTAGACACATGATCTAGGGGTGCATGCTTATTTACAATTGATTTCATTGTATCAATAGATCTAGCTGTTGCATCATGCAAATTGTTACTTTGAGCAAAAATGACAACCCAATCCCAAATGACATCCCAACAGAGATATCTTGAAGATAAGCTTCAGAATTGCTATAATCTCTGTGGTAGAATTAATCATTTTGTTTTTTAAATGATGTTTCAACTGTGCAAAAAATTGGTAAATGGTCAGAGATATCAAGGGGTATAATCCCAGAGACCAGCCTGTTAACTGAATTGGTATAGATATGATCAATTAGGGTTGCAGTATGACAAGTGATTCTGGTAGGTTTAGTTATTACTGGCAATAGATTATGAGAATAAAGCATGTCAAGGTATCTACCTGTTTGCAGATGGGTGCTCATAAATGTAGCCAATCATAATATGTTTCTTATTAGCACAAGGGTCAATTTCAAGCCAGTATGAGTTGTAAAAACTATGTTTTCGAATTATACTTCTTAACCTTCGTCCTACATTTTTGCTGATAAAAGTTTCCCTCTTTCCTGTTTTAAGTTTTGTTTTTAGATGCCACTTCCACCTGTATATTTTTTCAAAACGTAAAGTGTATCGTCTAGGAGCGTGTATTGTCTAAGAGCCTGAGTATTATAGAATGACTTCAGCAACCCCATCTTATGATAGCTTTAGAACAAAACCAATAACGCAACTAAAAGCATTTCTTTCGATGTGGTCAATTCTCCTAGTCCTTAATCAGATACAATGGGAAATATCTTTGCTATTCATTACACATGTACATGCTTCTACAAATGACTTAATGGCAGAAAGTATAACAGTTCAAACTGTACCATTTGCCTCTTAAAAGTGTTTCTCAATCTGTGTAGAGAATAGATGATTAATCTAGGCGATTGTTCGCATACGTTAGATTCGAACACTTCAAAGTTTGATACATGATAAACGATGCTAATAAACGATGATACCTGACCATGCAATTTACAAAGAAGTTGATGAAAAGACTTGAAATTTATTATTATTTCTTTTAGAATTATGCTGCTTCAAAACAAAAAAATATCATATTGTAGCTACTTTTCTTCTCTTTAGAAAGAGTTACGAGTGAGTGTCATCTACAGTTTACTACTGACTACTCCTGAATTACTGAAGTTTAACCTCGACCTACTGGATATCATAAGATATTCGAAACTCTTCTTCATGCAACAAATTTGCTGTTATGGGAAAAAAAGACCTCGTATTTGCGACTGATCTCATCCTACGCAAAGTTAATGGACCACACTTAGTACTCTAACTAGTTAACAATTTAACTGCAAATACAGCTTCAACCATGCGGTAAAACGCTTTCAAATCGGAAGACACTTCCGTTTGGTCTGGAGACATCAATGATAGATTCGGAAGGAGTCCAGCAATGAAGAAGGTTTATTGTAGCTTCAGAGTGCGATGGCTTCGAAAGGCTACTCTCACGCTGGCATATCGTCCATGAAGAAGGGTTTCTTCAAAGGTACCGAGAGGTCTTTTCTTTGCTTTTCACTGTAGTGGCTGTGGGTTGTTCTGAGGAAATTTCTGATCTCCAGATGCGATTAACAAACCGCTTGCCGTCACGAAAGACAATCTCTTCTTCATTGCTTTCACTCACAATTTCATCCATTAGTGAATCTAAATCGCGCATATCCCTTCTGTTGCTGATGTCAACAGCTTTGAGTGTGAAGTTTGGGTCTTCGATGCCTGCTGTACGTCGAAAAGCCCACACTGTAGAACACCACGGAAAGGAATTTGTCTCGGGAAACTTTTCTGAGCTATCCAACATCTGTGTACGCTTGGTGACGAGGTAGATTTGGCAGTTGTACCACTTCTTCTCCGTCAGGAGCCTCATTAAAAAAACCGAACTATGTAGAGCAAGGCTTTGGACTTCATCAATCACGCTGAAGTCATCTGGTCGATTAGTCGTCTCCACTGGCCACATGTTTATGATGCAAAGGTTTGTTGAATTTCCCGGTAGTATGTCAGAAATGGCTGTCGTTATTGCTTCTTCTACCGCGCTGTTAAGCCCTCCAGCACTTGGCGGGTCAAGAGTTCTCAGGTTTGTATTGGCTTCCTGAAGTCTTCTTATTAAGGCCTGTGAAAAACTAGAAGACTCTTTCAGCAATAGGAAGTTCAAATGTGGTTCCATACCTTTCTTCTCTTGTAAATCATCTTGAATCTATTGCACCTCGTACCTAAGCTCCTCGAAAAGATATTCACGTTCCGTGCTCGTCACTCCTGCCAAACGGAAGTCACCCATGGTTAGCAAAACTCTTCCACAAGGACTCATCAACCGAACATCAAAGCTTCCAAGTTTGGTCTCAATGGCATGACAATAAAGTTGGTTGGTAGATGGAACGTGGTTAAGGGTAACGCTTTTGAACCCCACAGGCACAATGGATGTATCATCGCCTTCTAATTCTCCTAGGGCAACGAAGCAGGATTGAAGACAAGCATCTATAATGCAGGGATGTAAGACGTAAGCACTGCTTTCGTTCTGAATGGTTGGCGATTCACTTATATCAATCAAACAAAATCCTTCGTTGTCTCGATGCCATATCTGTTTGATTAATGAGAATTTGGAACCATAGTTAAAGCCAAACTTTTCTGTTAGTCGTTTAAAGCTCTCCACAGGCATTTGTTCCATATCTGCTTTCAGCTCATTTATAGTAGAACCCCCTGGCATGGGAACTACAAAACAAAAACAGCGGATCAGTTCGTTCACGTGAGGCGAGGTTCAATATTTGTTATCTCCTATAAGTGATTTCCATTCGATAAATTTTTTAAAATTTCGCTCGAGAAAAAAAGAAAAATAGAAATATATTTTTTTCGTTAACAGATTATGATAAACTATATATTCCTGGCTGGAATTATTGCAACTGGAGGGTTTCAATCGAACAAAGGTATTATACTCAGCTCGCCCTGTCTTATGGAATGAATTAGCATTCCTAATACTGACAAATTCAGTGTTGTCTGATATTCGAAAAACCAACTACGATTGCCTGGTGATGGTGATAAAGAAAAAACAAACAAAGTGCGAACATTCAACGACATCATACCTGTATTATCAAAACTGTGGCGACTTTCCAACAGATCTATGGAGATGTTCCCCCGGCTCAAATTTATTTCAGACTCGTCATCCTGAACACTTGTAATATGAAATTGAGCTTCATTAATTCTGTTGCTCTTTTCAAGCCGAAGCCGTAGACATCGAACCTTAGGAGCGAAGGAATAATAATAAATGATTATGTTTATTCGAGGTAGTTTCCATCTTGCCAAAACAGAATTTGATATGTACAGACATTGCTCTAGTTACCTGTGTTTCGGGGAGGGTAAGAATGCTATAGAGATTTACATCACTAAGCTCCAAGCCAGCCACGTCTGTGAATTTGTCCTTCACCATTCCAAATGCCATTTCCAAATACACTGCACCAGGCATAACGGCACCTCCCTGGATAAAAGAGTGATCCTTGAGTGTTGGAAAGCGATGGAGGTCAATCTCAGTTTCCCAGCAGTGCAAGTGTGAGTAGGGGTCAGCCATTTTCTCTTTGGGAAGAAACGGATGTGACGATTCCTTTGCTGTTTTCTTTGATCCGATGGGAGGGATTGTGGCAAAAGTTGAACGCTCGTCGAACCAGAAGCTTTTCTCTAGCCAGGGATAGTTGAGAGAACGAACAAACTCTGCTGATGGATTCTTCTGCACACATGTCCAATCTATGGAATGTCCCATCGTGTACAGTTGACAAACTGTGTTTAGGAGGAAGGATTTGTGTTGATCTTCGACAGGTACCCTTTTTCGAGGAAGTGTTGCCAATACAACTGGAGTTTCTTGGTCTTTTAGATTTTCTTGACGGGCAATCTGTTTAACGTAATGGGCTAACATTGGCTGTGCACTTATCTCGATAATCTGTTTGAAACCACCGCTGAGAATTTGCTTCATGGCTGGGTAAAACTGGACTGGAGAGCGAATATTTTGCCACCAATAGTCACCGTTAAACTGCTGGCCCGACAGAACTTCGCCTTTTACCGTAGAATACATCGGGATTTTTGACAGCTGAGGCTTCAGGTTGATGCGTTTTACAGCTGTAAAAAACGGCTCTTTAATCGGTTCCATGTAAATGGTATGAAAAGCGCGTTTAGTACCAAGAATACACCAGAAGATATCTGTTGCGTATGTTACCAGATGTTGACCGAGAATTTCAATTGATTGGGATTCTCCAGCAACAGTAACACTGTCTGCATCATTCACTGCTGCTATGTCAAGCTTGTGGCTTAACTGCAAAGACTCCAATAACGCCCTCGCCTTTGCTTCGGACATACCTAAAGCAGCCATACCACCGTCCTCAGCACATTTATCTTGAAGGGTGGACCGAGCTAAGACTAATTGAACTGCTTCTTTGACAGTAATGATGCCGGCAATACAGGCAGCTGCAATCTCTCCTAAGCTTTGCCCAATGACGGCAGACGGATGGATTTTCCATGACATTATCAGTTTTGCAGTCGCATATTGGATGGCAAAAGTTGCCGGCTGAGCGATGTAATTCTCAGAAATTCTTGACTCTCCTTCGTTAGCCATCAACTCATCCATGAGATTCCATGTCACACCTAGATTCTTAAGTAAATTGTTCACCACCGAGACAGCGTCTCTGAAGGTGGCTTCACATTCAATTAGTTGTCTCCCCATTGCATACCATTAAGATCCTTGACCACCAAACATGAAAACGAGTTTTCCGTTGTTGGAACTCGCTTCGGCGTAAGAAATCAGCTTATCCCAACCCACGGATTCACTTGCGAATTGTGACAAAGACTGAGATGCTTCAGCAGTGGAGCTGAAGAGAACTGCCAATCGGTGCGGAAACCGACTCCGGCTTTCATTCAAAGAGAAGCACAAGTTTGCCACGGTGGTTTCATCCATCTCCTCCACATTATCTTTAATCCGTTTAGAGTACTGATGAGCCATCTTCTTTAAAGCTTCTTTAGAACGCGCTGAGAGTGTGAGAACATTGCTTCGGTAAAAACCACTTTTTTCATGCGACATTGCTTCGCAGTAATTTTTCGAAGGATTAAATGCACGTTTGATCCACCAAAACCAAACGAGTCGTACGTTACGGCAGCCACTCGCTGTCAGTTAAAAGAGACCTCAATACATCAACAATCCGTTGCCGAAAATGCAAGTTGGCTCAGTCGGTTCAATCTTTAGTTAACATCAAGGTTCAACAAAACCGTAGAAACGATTAAAAATGCTATTCTAGCTGCTAAGAAAACTTAAGCTCTTCCCCCTTTAGGAATTGAAAATCATAGCTTTTCTTCATTTGGCTAAGAACTTGGAATTTAAAATGAAGAGCTTTAAGGTACGATGGTAGTTAGCTCTTATCGTCAAAAATGTTGAAAGTTTAATGTTCCAACCTGTTTGGCAAAGCAAATCTTCCAATCACTTTACATAGAAAACTAGAGCGGGTGTTTAATCCGACCCTAAGTGGTCATATATTTGCATTGGTCTGATATGTTATCACTTCACCTGCCCGTAACATGGGTACATTGTGCTGAATGGCTCCAGTATTCCTGATTTAGGATGCACCAAAAGGATTTCAAGGCTTCCCCATATGTATCTTATTACTATGATTATTTGATTTTTCGCCCGAACTTGGCCATATCACCTGGCTAATTCCCCAGCAAAATTAATGGATTACCATAAACACATTAATCAGTATTTTTTTGCATAAACGATCGCGTATGATGAACCAGTCGTGCTCTAATTCTCATCTTAGTGCTACGTCTTCCTTATACGCTCATAAAAACCCAGAAAATAACAATGTTTTCCCCTCTTCTAATCAACGCTAACGTCGAAGTAGATATTGCAACGGATCCATTATAAGTAAATTGAATGTGTTACATAAATATCATATGTATATGTGACTTTTTTTATATTATCGATAGCTTTCGACATCATGTTTAAGGTTACCGTGCACCTTCGGGGGTGTCTCGCGTGCAAGCGATGTAGCGCATCCGGTTTAAACTGTAGATATCTCAACCTCTATATCAAATTAAAGCTTATAGGACTGGCTATCATACTATACAAAAAATTTTGAAAAATAATTAATTGCCGAGTTTTTCATGACTTCTAAATGCGGGCGCCCGAATCACCTTTTAAGAGCTACAAGTTAAAGGGAATTTGTTCGATTGCTCTCAAATTTTGACAGTAGCTAGTTTTACACATAAACAACAAAAACTTGTCCGGCCGAATTTTTTATTTCTTAATACCTTTTTTTCGAGAGTGATTTTTGTACGATCACTCCCAATTTTTTAATCCTATTTCAAAAATGTTCTGTAACTTTTCACTGAAATTGAATATGGCAAATCGCAGACACGTTTTCTTTAGCGCTTTGGCCCCGAAAACGGGGGAACACATTAAAAAAGCGAAAAACAAAATTGGCTTTAACATGTAATGTTCAAAAGGTGATTCGGGCGCTCGCATTCAGAATTCGTGAAAAATTCGACAATTCATCTTTTTCAAAATTTTTGGTATAGTCTGAAAGCCATTCCTATAAGCTTTCATTTGATATGGGGGTTTAGATATTTAAACCGGATGCGCTACATCGCTTGCACGCGAGACACCCCTGGAGCCTGGAGGTGCACGGTATCCTTAATAAATCATCTCAGTGAATACAATGTTACACCGAAAAATAACTTAAATCGTCGAGTCTTGTATTTGCTAGAGTTTCACCTGTAGCCAGTCGTCATAACTGAAATTTCGTTTGTGTTTTGGCTTTCCTACTTACTAGCTAACTGAGTGAACTTTCTTGTATACTGTGCATTACGTTGAACAGTCGTTGCAGCTGTTTGAAATTTTCTTAAAGATGGCGTGCGAGCTGTGTTTTTGGATGCAATCTTTCAATCGATTCCTGGAGAAACACTTAGTTCACTGTCAAATAAATTTATGTAGACTTGATTCTAGAAAGATTATCTCTGCATAATTTCATATTTGGGCCATCAAACGGTTCTCTAGAAACCGTAATACTGCACTGAGTTGAAACAATCATTTTTCTTTGAAAGGCTTGTACATCGCAAAAAATCTAACTAATTGCTTGATATTTTCTCCAGTAATAATTGATACCTTCAGAATTGAAATCTTATGGAAAAAAATTTAAAAAGCTCATTACAATTTTTAATAAAGAAGGCGGCTGAGCATAACTCTTATGGTTGCTAAAAAAATAACATATTGGAAATATTCAGTAAGCATTTCCCTGGAATCGTGAGCTACGAATATTTGCCACTGAGACGATAAAATAAACACCATTAACGTCAGTAAGTTGATTTACTGTTGGAAACAACTTGTTTCTCTTAATTAAACATCGAAAAGTCCACTTCATAGCGATTTCTTAGATGATGACGAAATAAAATTAACTCAGATTTTTTTTCATCTTCGACATACCATGCACAGGATAACTTTCGATTGATTTCGAAAAAAATCCTTGTCTGTTCAATTTTCAGTTAAAAGGGCTTACTGGATTTGTTCGAAACGTTGAGGTATTTAGTCAGTCACTGCCAATGGACCCTGATTTGAAGGAAAGCTTCAACAAGTTGAGGAAAAATGTCTATCACTAAAAACGAAAAGTCAGTTGGGCTTCGTATGCTGGTTAGTCCCTTAAAAAAGGCCTCATTGGGATAACTCTTTTTTAATAATGAAGACATTTTTATTTTATTTTCATAACGATGAAAGTCTTTTCAACCGAAGTTTCAGACTCACAGGAAAATTTTCGTTGAATAGGTTCCTAAACGAGAATTATGATATCTGATATTCAAATTATTCAAGAGATTCTTATAGATTGGATTATTAGAATAATTCCGCCTGTGTTTCCAAGAATGTTAAATGCCCTCGGATATTTAAGTGACGGACTTCACATGGGTTAGTGAGAAAAACGTAGATAAAAAGCTATAAACATTTGATAAAATTACCAAAATATACCACAAAGAAATACACCAACTCGCCTCGCCTTTTACTGACTCATATAAAAAAATAAATTAGTTGCCATGTTTTTTCACTTTAGTCGGATGAACTCCAAGGGTTCCATGCAGATCAATTCAGAGATTGTTTTCATCATTAATATTTTATACTCATGTTGCTGGTATAATTATCATTAGTAAATTCTTGCATTAAAACTGACTAAAACATTCAGCTTTTTATTAACCTCTTGAACAACAGGCAGTGAAATGTAAATCCTATCGACCCTGTCTTGTTGGTAGGTTTGGTAATCTTTGCTATTTATCTGCTCGTTTGTTTGTTTGTTTTTCAGTGCCTGTTTTCAGATCCTTTGCTACAGTCTTGAATGCATCTATTTTGAAAGCAGTTCAGTACCGGTATCTGACCAGCCCAACAGTTCACTTACAAACGAATCATCATATTCGGCCGAAATTAAAAAAGCTTGAAGACGTGTCATAGCATTTTTTTACGTCGGATTGTAGGCAATACAATATGCAACGACTTAGTGCAAACTGCAGCAGAGCGAACTCTATACCAGAAATAGAAAGGGTTTTTTTTTTTAATATACTGACTACAGAAAAAGAGTGTGAAATGATTTTTATTCTAATGTTTTTTTGTAAGCCCGCGAAGAAGAAATTCTAAGTAATTAAAACTCAACAGGAACTGCACGATGCATAAGTGGAGGCTACAACCATAAGGTAGTTTGACACACGTTTAAACTGAGGGACGCTCTCTACCCGCGAGCGACAAGTCCCAGTTCAAATTATTATTTAACGATATATATTGTACAGCGATGTACTTACTTCGTGCCTTGGCTACTGGAGTCGAACCCCAACAACAATATTGTTAGCAGCGCGCTGAAACAATTTAAGTTTAGGTCTGGCACCACCAGCAGCTTTTTTAGCTTCCATCATCACATCGAATGTAGCCCCGTTTTTTTATTTTCTGTTTCAAAAAAAGGTTATGCAAAATACAGCCCACTTAAAAAGAGAAACAATACAATTTTTTGCCACTAAACCGTTCTCTGGAAACCGATCTTTGTTGAGATTGACTCTCTGGCTCAAATGCTAATATAGAGCTTGATTTTTATCAGTTTCCACGGTGATTTTTCCGGAACGCTAGCGTTGTGGTAAACTGATGGAAAGTCTCCAGTTTAGTTTTCATACGTAGGCATCAAATATATGGTGTAGAAATGCTTTTTTTCTGAGGCCTCAGGGAGAAACAGGTCTGCCAGCTGCAAGTGTGTCATAACAGCTTAAAAGCAGTATTATGAATTAGTTGGTTTTGAAATATTTCCTGAAAAACGAGCGATAAAAAATATGAACGACGTTTCGACCGCTTCACGGTCATTTTCAAGTTAGAGTTCATGAGTAAATTTCCGCATATAAACGATTTCTGAAACAATGGAATGAAGGTAAAAGCTAAGTATTTACATATAAACAATAGAGCTAATAACTAATAACAAAGTGCAAAAATGAAGTGTAAATAAGCGGTGAAAAGGATAAAAATAAATTAATATGAAATGTTAAGCAAACAGCTTCGCGCGAATAGAATCGCTCTGTTTGTTCAGTTTTGGCTTAAGGTCCCGAATATAAAATATTTCGAAAATCAAACAATCGAACTTAATTATTTGAGCATTTCCTCAGGACGCTAAAGTTCTTTGCGATTTCACATGGTTCGATTCCATGTTCTCCTACATGGTTGCCAATTACCGATCGTTTAAGGCTGGTTTTCACTTGCGACGGAGTCGTAGTCGGAGTCGTAATCAGAAGCGTGGAGCGATACGATCTAGTGAAAACTGCATTGTCGGAGTCGGAAGCGGAAGCGGAAGAATAAACCAATCACAATGCTCGATTCCATCTTTCCAAATTGCACAAATAGCCGTAACAAATTTAAACGTGTGAGCTTGACGGTAGAATTACGAAATTAAAAGTTAAAATACTCGAAATGAACCCACCGAAAGTACGATTCACGATCACCAAGTCGTAGTTCGCTGACGAGACTAGCATACTCTTCCTAGGCTGCTCGACGTCGATAGATATCACGAACCCAAAATTACTTTCTTTTTCGAACGATATTATTCCTTTATTATCCAACTACACCTAGACGAGTACAAATAACGCCATAGACGAGTACAAATATCACGCAGCATCATTGTACTCGTCTATTGTACTTCCGGTTAAACAGGTTTTCTCGCATCGCGCAAGCGAAGAATTGGATTGTAGTTACGAAAATAAAACAAATGGCGGACAATTTGAATCATATTTCCGACGAAGAAGAGTCAGAATGGCTGGCAAATATAGATCCAAGTTCATTAGATGAATCGAACGACGAAAAACAGCTTGACGACCAGAAAATTTCTTCATTTAATGAAGAAAATAGAAACAGCAGCACAACAACGCGCCAATTCCGTTCCGCTTCGCATACTTCTGTCACGCACTCCCCGTAAATAAACATCCGCGAAATTCGCCCGCACTGAAATAACAGTTTGGCGTGTTGGATAATAAATAACTTATTAGACGTTTTGTTGTGTAGTATCGCTGAGTATTTTTACTCGTTATTTGTATTTTGACTCGCCCTACGGGCTCGTCAAAATACGGCACAACTCGTAAAAATACTCAGCGATACTACACAACAAAACGTCTAATAAGTTATTTATTATCCAACACGCCAAACTGTTATTTCAGTGCGGGCGAATTTCGCGGATGTTTATTTACGGGGAGTGCGTGACAGAAGTATGCGAAGCGGAACGGAATTGGCGCGTTGTTGTGCTGCTGTTTCTATTTTCTTCATTAAATGAAGAAATTTTCTGGTCGTCAAGCTGTTTTTCTTCGTTCGATTCATCTAATGAACTTGGATCTATATTTGCCAGCCATTCTGACTCTTCGTCGTCGGAAATATGATTCAAATTGTCCGCCATTTGTTTTTTTTTT